CCCCCCCCGCCCCCCCCCACCCTTCCATTATTGCAAGCTTGCCTCCACCACTATTGGCCGCCCATAGTAGAAATTATACCTTCTTCAGAGCTCTTCCAAAACTCCCAGTTTCTTCCATTAGAGGTTAGCCTCCTCAGAGATACCGAAGCTACTATTTTGGGTTTTTTTCTCTTTCTTTGAAATTTGAGTTGTAGTTATACTACTCTGTTTTATTTGAGAGAGTTTCTGCTTTATTTGTTTGTTATTTTATTTTCTTTACAAAAGTTATACTTTTTGATGAGCTAAGTTTAAATAATAATCAATTTTATGTTGAGGGTGTCTTTTTGGTTGTTTTCAGTGAAGTGTGAAGTTGAAAATCAGCTAGTTTAGTTGAAAACTGCGGCAATCTGATCAAAGTTCTATGTTTCCATGTTACAGGGAGGAAGGATTTGTTGAATTATGGTATTTGACTATAAGATTTTAAAGGATGTGAAAACTCAGATAAGCTAGCTAATGCAATATAAGATATCAAGTTCTGTAAGAGCACTTCCACCCATAAGGGCTAAGTCTAAGGCAAGAGCAAGCAAGGGCTGCCACTATTCACGTGAATAGTGTCAGCCTTGCCATTTGTAGTTTCATCCATGAGGGCAAAGTCTATTGCAAGTCTAAGACAAATACTATTCGTTGTACTTTATTTTCTATTTTTTAAAACTTTAAACTATTAATTTTGATAATATTTTGTAATTAAATTTTTGGATAAAAAATATTGGATGTAGAAGAATTGTATGAAGATTTGGTGAGGAAAATGAATAATGTGAGTGGAGAGTAAAAAATATTGGATGGAGAAGAATTGTATGAAGATTTGGTGTGGAAATTAAATAAAATGGTTAGGTATTTTATAGGGAAAAAATACATAATTTTTTGGTATTTTTAAAAAAAAAAATTCAAAATTTTTTCGAATTTTTTTGCAATTTTTTAAGCCAAAAAAAGGAGGACCGTCGGATTTCTGAAAAAAAAAAACGATCGGAGCGTCCCTGTCGCGACACGTGGCACAACGATAAAAAAAATTTTGAATTTCCGTGTACTGACGTCACAAAACTCGGGCTAAAGCCCAGGCAGAACTTGCCCTTGGGCCTGCCCGGGCTGGTGGGACCCAGCAGTTGCCCGAGCTCTTTCTCTTGCACTGGAGCGCATCTGGGCTTGCCTGGGGGCCCTTTCCCCTGGTTTGGGGTGAGCGCTGGAATGCTCTAATGAAAGGGTGTGGTGGGGATGGGTGGCGCTAATGGATGGTTGTCAAGATGGAGGTGAGTAAAAAATATTGGATGGAGAAGAATTGTATGAAGATTTGGTGTGGAAATTAAATAAAATGGTTAGGTATTTTATAGGGAAAAAATTCATAATTTTTTGGTATTTTTTTAAAAAAAAATTCAAAATTTTTTCGAATTTTTTAAGCCAAAAAAAGGAGGACCGTCGGATTTCTGAAAAAAAAAAAACGATCGGAGCGTCCCTGTCGCGACACGTGGCACAACGATAAAAAAAATTTTGAATTTCCGTGTACTGACGTCACAAAACTCGGGCTAAAGCCCAGGCAGAACTTGCCCTTGGGCCTGCCCGGGCTGGTGGGACCCAGCAGTTGCCCGAGCTCTTTCTCTTGCACTGGAGCGCATCTGGGCTCGCCTGGGGGCCCTTTCCCCTAGTTTGGGG